TGGACTCTGTGAGCTGCTGGTGGTTGCAGTTTGTGAGCTATTGCTGGCCGCTTTCCGGACGCTGTAGAAACAGGAGGCTACATTACCCACCTGATCAACAACCAGCAGCTCTACATCAGGCGAACAGCAGGACGAACTGTAGGACACCAGCGTTATGTTCCCGCTGCCAGCGGTCATGTTCCCAGTGCCAGCGGTCATGTTCCCGCTGCCAGCGGTCATGTTCCCAGTGCCAGCGGTCATGTTCCCGCTGCCAGCGGTCATGTTCCCGCTGCCAGCGGTCAAACTGGTGTTCATGGTCCCGTTGCCCTGTCTGAGGCTGACACGCTCAACACCCGTCCCTTCAGCCCCATCAGTCACCTGAACAGAGAGCTCCCACATCGATAAGCTGCAGATGTCAGAGCAGTTTGACTGCAGGCTGAGCAGCTCACACACCGGCTGAGTGAAATCGGTCACCTATGAGGAGAAAATGTGGATGAATACAGCCGGTTTTACATCAGTCCTTCAACCAATAAACACAATAATCTATTCCATACATCTATTATCTTTCTGCTAATCCGGGCTGGATTGTGGGGATAACAGGTTTATCAGGTTATGCCAAACATTCCTCTACCCAGCAACATTTTCTAGTTTTCCACTGCTGTTTTGGATCTGCCTTGGGGCCTATTATCAGTTGGATGTCCCTGGGAGTCCTCTAATGTGAGGCAATCAGGAGGCATCCTGATCAGATGCCCAAACCAACTCAGCTGGCCCCTTTCGACTGGAAGGAGCAGCAGCTCTACTCGGTCATCTACTTCGGATGAGCTCCTCACCGTATCTCTCAGGGTGAGCCCAGCCACCCTACGAAGGAAGCTCATTTCGGCCACTTTTATCTGCAATCTAATTCTTTCGATCCCAGATAAGTGAGGGTCAGAATGTAGATGGACTGGTAAATCAAGAGATTTGCCCTCTGGCTCAGCTCCCTCCTTCAACATTCTGGTACAACGCCTGCATCACTGCTGTACTGCACAATCCATCTCTTGCTTAATTCTACCCTCACTCATGAACAAGAGCCCGATATACTTGAACACCCTCTCTTGGGGTACAATGATGAAAGGATTAAATGAGCTAGAATGATCATTCACTGCCTTTAACATCTATTGAAATGTGATTTGTGATGAGTTACCGTTTTAAGGACAGCGAAACGCAGCACAACATAGTTGATGTCTGCACTCGTCGGAGCCTCGACCTCAATGGTCAGGGTGACGTCAGTACCAGACGGGGTGGTAGAGGGTGCTGTGAGGTTCACTGTACCATTAGCGCTGCCTCCAGTTTCCAGGAATAAACTGGACGGGAAATTTGAATTAAAACCTTGGTCATTGGTAGCTTGGATGCGGAAGTTTCCTCCTGCACCGCTCGTCATCACAGAGAAGGGAACTGAAAGTGGTATTCCTGGAACCAAGACGCGATTTGGATTAGGCTAAAAAAGGAAAGGAAACAGTCAGTATCTGTTACATGTAAAAAGACTGTGGCAGTGCAACTTATACTATCAAGTCATATGATAGGTTTTTAGATGGATGCATTTTACTTACAGAAGTAATAATCAAAGTAGATGCTTTGATGGTGGTGGAGGACTGCCTTTGTAAGATCCCTGAGGATCCATTGCTGTTCTGCCCTTTCACAAGCACCACAAACTCCTCTGCTGGTATCCTGTCAAACTTAGCTAAGAAGTCTCCTCCGCCCAGAGCCTCCACACTGCCAGTAACCTCTCTTGAGCCCGACGATTCAACCAAAATGACTTCTGTCACCGTGGTGGAGTCACTCCCAGTTACTGTCACGATCAGGCTACCATTAACACCTTCAAAAAAAGATTAGGAAGTCCACTGAAATACACTGACGTGAAGAAAATTACTTTGGCATATCACACAATTCTGTTTCCTTTACCAGCTCTGGGACGATTGTCTACAACATCTAAATCTCCAAACGGGCTCTGTGATACCTCCAGAAAGTCAAACAGGAAGTCAATGAGGCTCTCACCTGCAAATAAAAAAAAAAATTACAAAAGAAATTCAACCAAAGAGGTCACATGCAGAACACTGCATTAGCATTTTGTGATTTGGAAGAACCAGGACTTCAAGGTAATGGATAGTTGTGTCATTATGTGTTTCAACCCTATAATCATGGAGTACTCACCGATGACCTTCATAATGTAGGGATTTGTTGACACCATTTTAATTTCCCAAAGTCCAGGTTGTGTTTTTAGCTTCAGAGTCTTGAAGTTTCCCACTGACTGGGATGCAGTGATCAATGATCCTGTGGTGCCAGCGCTCTCCTGAGAGACACCTAAAAGCAAAGCCATGGAAAGAAACTTAAGTCAAGAATTTCCACATAAGGAGTCTTTTAAAATAATTTTCAATGCCAATAAACAAGATCAATATGCTTTAAAATGACTGCGCTTTTCAGTGAAGTGGATATTATTGCTTTTTAAAATGCTACAATGATGCAAATAAAAACTTCAAATTATCTAATCTGCAAAGCCATTTACCTGAGGGACTGATGAGAGTAAAGGTGACAAAGGTCCCAGTGATGTAAACTGTGAGGTTTCTTACTGACTCATCAACCGTGAAGGTGAAGTTTTCAGCCTTTCCTGGACTCCTGGCTGCCTGCAGGATGGTCACCTAGGAGGTTAAATGAACCTGGTGACACAACTGCATTTTGTTTAAACTAGAAAAGTGATTGGTAATGGCCAGTGAGAGCGTTAATACCAGAGAGGAGCTGGAAGATTCTGTTATGATGCTGGTGGCCACAGGGAGCTCACTCTTTGAGACTTCAATAGCCAGACCTCCTGACGCCTGAGCCAGGTCTCTGTACAGCTGGCCATCTGATGTCACCATCCGACTGCTGAATTGTTGTTGTTGGCCATCATCACTTTGTCTTCGACGACGAAGTCCCACTATGCCAGTTATCATGAAGTTCACCTGAAAAGAAACGGAAAAAGGTCAAAAAATTTAAGGTGTAACGTCCACTCATAAGGGCTTTAAGTTTTAAGTTAACAAAATCAGAAAGGTCTTAAATAGCTGTTTATGTATGTAAAAATGTATATACGTTGTACTGTTTATATCTTTATTATTGCTATACTTAGAGTAAAGTAAACTGTTCATAATGTAATGACTTTATACGATGTCATTCAAAAATCCTTTTATTAACATCTGCAAATAAAGTACCAACAACGTTGAGCACATGTTCAGCTCACTGCTGTTAGCTACAATATCATCACGATAAATGCTAATGTTAGCTATCTAGTAAACAAAATACTGAATGTGAAAATGATTACTTTTATGTTTTAGCAGGCCCATCTAGTAGATACTCACCACTGACTTGGTCTGCTCTATGAGCGCGATCACAGTGCTTCTCAGGTGTTGGTCTTTAGCGGGTGCATCAGTGAAGACGAAGATCTCAGAATTACGAGGAGCACCAGTTAAAGCCAACTATGAGCAAGAGAGGACAGCAATGTTGCAGAAGATTAACTCTTATTTTTTTCTTATTGTCAAGTTTTGCAGAGACTAATAAGGAAGTAGTCTAAAAGACATCACAGCACCTGAAGCCCTGAAAGACTCATTTCTGGAAAATCTCCTCCACCGGTTGCTGACAGTGAATCAATAGCGTTCTTGAAAACTTTTGGGTCTGTAGTCTTTGTCAGAGGCCCAAATTCTGGGGTTCAGGTAGAGACAGCAAAAATAAATTATTTTATTCTTCATCTTGTGCTTATGTTTGTTAAGTACTTCAGGATTTACAGATGAAAAGCAAATTTATAAATTTGATATACATTTGCAAATATCCCGTTACTTCACTTCAGAGGGAAAAAACAAACAGGATTGTAAAATCTAGTCTGGGACATTTGGATCCTACCTGGGTCGTTGAAAGGTACAAGAATGTAAATTGAGGGCTCATCTTCTGTTCCCACTTTACTGTTGATTATAGAGGAAGTGACGTCCCTCACTGCTGCAATGTCATCGCTCATGCTTCCTGTGGTGTCGATCACGAAACAAAGAGCTTTACCTTTGGAGATTCCCATCATTCTGAGGGATGAAGAGAGGAGGGCGGGATAAAAAGAGATAACAAATTTAAAAAAATCTTTGCAATCCACCTTCTTATAATATAGAATATAAATGAAACATGCAGAATATGTTTCATACTGGAGGAATGATATGTCACCAGCAGCCCCTCGAATGTCCTCCAGTAGCTCACTGGTTGCAGCAATCGCCAAGTTTGCTGCTTTCATGTGGAGGTGTCCGTGGCTGGCACCCAAATTGTCTTTGTTGATCCCAGCTTTAGGTTCAATCCCACTTGTTTGATCAAATGCACCTCCATGGCTGCACTTTCCTGTTCAGCATTGGAAACAGAACAAGAACTAAATGTTTCATACAGCTTTAAAAAATCCTCTTTTTCAGAAAATATTAGGGAAAAGACTTCTCTTTGAACGTGTGCTTTTAGCCACACTAGTAGCAAAAATGTTTGTTTGTTGGTCGGTTCACCACTTTGGCCCAGACTGAAGTATCAACAACTAACAGATAGTTTGTAATTATATTTTGTGTAGACAATTAGAGAGCCCAGCAGATTAATTATGACATCACCAATATCCTGAAAACATAGAGCTGTGTCCAAAATTCAAACAAACTCTAGCAGAGTTAGTAGTGTTAGGTTCACGCTGGAAAGTAACAAAACAGGCAGTATGCAAACTATGTGTGTGCCATTGATAAAACTATTCTCCCTCAATGCACAATGGAAACAAAGGGGTGGGCTGCTCACAACTACAATGAATTTAAACGGATTGTGGATGTGTGATGAAACGTCTCCAGAAAAAACTCAGAAAACAAAAACTATTTCATGTTGCAGTTTCTGTTTAATTTAATTGGCGTATGTTGCAGGGCACGTATTGTGTAATTTCCTGTTAGTACAAAAAAGTTAAATATGTTGATTTCTTGCTTGGTGCTATCTGAAAAATAAATTAAAAAAAATAATATACCGTAATAAACAGTGGTGAAAGTCACTAAATGCATTATTCCAAGCACTGTACTTGTTTCCTCATTTCTGTTGCTTTATACTTCAAAACATTTTACAAGAAAATAGTACTTTATACTCTAATTTACTACATTTTCTAATATCTTTAGTTACTTTGCAGATTCAGATTAAGAATACACAATTGAATAAATAAATAAGTAATGATATATCATTAGAGATTGAGTTAAGACTCTATTGATCCCCAGGGGGTATTCACAAGCTACCCAACACTTTATAAAGTAGTAAAAGGTGTTCAATATGATAGTAACTACTGTATCAGCACAGTGAAGAGTAGCGGCCATGAGCTAGCCAGTGGGCATGCTCATGCACTGACACGGGGTTCTCAGCCTTTCCTAACTTTAGGCCCACTTCTGATTGTTAAAAAAAATCAGGGCCACCTTCACAAAAAATTAAGAAAAAAAAACATAACATGACAAATAAAAAGGAGAAAAAAATAAACTACGCTGTGGACATGTTATGCGACTGTCAGCTGTGAGGACCAGAATAAATATTCTGCTTAACCTCACCCACCACAGACTGCCACTATGAACCCAAATGTAATGTATTCAGGGTCAGGTTACCTCAGCACACACTTTGGAGCTTTTAGGGGCACAGGTTGTGTCTCAGATCACGTTTTTGTTTAAAAACCAATCTTTTTTATGTCATCTTTATGTTATCTTGGAGAATGTTAGCCAGCTAACAGCGACAAAACACATTTGGGCTATTGGATGATGCGTCACGACTGTCATGGTGATACCACGATAATTATGCTTTGTTTGAATTATTGTGTTTCGTCTGTATATGCATTCTTGAGTCCATTTAAATATACAAATAACTTGCTTTGTATTTCCAAAAATTATATATTTTTAATTTGAATCTAACCATTTGATAGGCCAAACGTATTAACAAACAACTTCTTATTTACACATCCTGCAGTTACGAAGCAACATTATCATTCATTTTGAGTCGTGTTTCTGGCAATCTGATGAATCTAACATTTACCCTTTCCTTTGTGCTGTTTTTGCTCTCCACCAACTCCTGAGAAGAATGTTTGTCTCTCTAGCTGCAAAGTGCTTCACTATGCTCGCTATAGCTATAGTTGCTAAATGTGTGTCTGTTCTTTGGTGCTGAGTAGGTTTAGTGAGTTTTTACAGCTTTTTGACAGCAGTGAGCACAAACCAAAAGTTGCGGCGTGTCAGAAACACACTAAACTGTACCGAGGGGAGCAGCAGATTCAGGTTCGACAAATTGTTGGGGTATTACATTCAGTATAACAATTTTGCCAGCTATCATTGCCCACAGCTGGTTTTTCTTCATACATGGGGACGATTGACACCGATTTCAGCTTCAGAGCTATATGACACACTTAACAATTACATTTGCAACCCTGACAAACATGACTTTCTCAATTTTCTAAATAATATTTGTACTGTAAATGAATTAAATACAATTCTTAACGTAGGCAGTTAGGTACGTCATTTACCTGTTGGTTTGGTGGATGAAAAAGGCACCAAACCAAAATATCCCGAGGTAAGTATCTTTTCCCGTAGGATATCTTCCAAAATGTTGTTTCTGCAGTCGTCTCCAATGCAGTTGCGACAGGTTGCTCTGCTTTCAGCTGTGGGAAAGAATATTTTGAAAGTGGTTATTTATTTTTTATTTTTTCTGTAAAACGATCTCTCCATCATTATCCATGCTCGATTTGAAACAAACACACACCGGTATTTCTAGATCTCTTTACCTGCGATGTTACCAATGACGGCATTTGATCTGATCAGATTGGAGTTTGGCAGTTCGTTTTCCATTTCCACCCAGTTACTATGACTGTAGAAGTCCTATTATTTAAAAAGGAAGACAAGTTAAATATTTGCAACACGGCAGCATCACTCTTACATTTCTTAATTTCAAGATCATTTTTTTCAGAAATATTCACTTTAACGATTTAGTAGGCTGTTGTAAAAAAAAAAAAAAGAATTGTAGTGCACACAACTTGAAATAAATTCTTAAACGGTCCAATAGAAATACATTGTCTGCTGCTTGCTGAACTTTTGAAATTAAACATTTGTGTAAGAAACTGTCTAACAATAGAAAATAAGCTACCTTAAACTTTTTCTGTACCTGTAAAGGGTGTAAGATTTGTCCCAGTTGGTCTCTCGCTGTCTCAAAGTTATTTCGCTTGTTGCTGGCCTTAACAACTGATAGTCCGTCTGTGATGATTTTTCTTCCCTCTGAAAAATTCTCATCGTCAAAGTGATAGCGTGGGTCAGAGACAAAACTAATATCTACTCCCTTGTTCTTTTCTTGGATTAATTTGATGGTTTGGCGAAAGCTCTTAGATGATTTTGGCGCTTCACAGGCAACAGCAACAGACACAGCAGTGAAACTCTGTGGACACAATTAATGATATTAATAACTAATGATATTTATTAAAAAATAAAGACATTGGTCATTTAAATTAAAATATGGTTGAATTTTATCCTCACAGGTAAACTGAAGTCTTTGCCCTCAGCCCGGGCCAAGGCGCGGCACACCTGCACAGTGACATTTAAGATCGCTCTCTCAGTGATCTCTTGATGAGTCAGAAAGTCTCCACTAAATAGGCCAATTTTAAAAGCTTCAGTCTGCAGAAGAAGGAGACACAACGCAGCCAGCCAAGACATTGCTACACAACCTGTCAAAGAGATAAAAAAATATATTGTTTATCATAGATGGTCTGATATGCTGCTATGACATTTGGTAAGGATCTTCATTCATCCCAATATTAAACAACCCCCTTAAGTGACCCCTTGAGAATCACAGTTTCGGTTGTCATTTCCTCTTAATGATACTTTACTAGACTACCGTGGGAGAAAGACAAAGTGCCCAGGCTGGGATCGAACACTCGCCCCTCTTGCTTTGATGCTAGAGTGCTAGCCACTGCACCACCATGGAGCCCCGTTACTAAACTACATCTGGCACAAATGTAAGATGAAATGCACTGCTTGCACAAAAGGGTGCTACCGAGACAAGTTTAGATTTTTCAATGAGAACTGTTCTCGGGCTGACAAATCTTTCCATTGAACTGGATGTAAGTGTATAAATAATTTTACCAAAACATAACAAGTATCCCCTCCAGCACTCAAAGAATCAGAGCAGCTCATACATCATTACTAAATTGATGTTGATGTTTAAGGACTACTACCTCAACACACACTTTGGAGCTTTTCTATAAACATGTATCATTATAATGTACTGTACTGATCATTCCTGCAGCCTCAAAAATCCAAGATTTGGAAACATTTCAACAGTGACTAAATTGTTTTGATACTAAATAATAAAAATTCTATTTCTAAATTACTTTACTCTGATGTAGTAACACACACTTGCACCATTTAGACAATATTAAAATCTGAGATTGTATTTTTACATTACGAATACTGATCAGATAAGAATACACTGTACCTTAGGTCTTGATGTCTTCTTGTTGCCTATCCATCATGGCAACTTACTTTATAATGCCCCAAGTCCAGGGAGGAGTCATTGCTGTGATGAACAGGTTTGACCTGTTGCCTTGGCACGGTAACATCAAGTGGGTCATGTTCATTTACCATGATGACATGGTTTCTGGTATGTCTTTTGGACGATATTGCTTATATTGAGTTACTTGTGTTGATAGGGTCTGGGGGTAAAATAGAAGCACACACAGGCACTAATCATATCAAACACTGCAGGCAGGTAACATGGAGATGCACAGTGGATGCTTAAAGATGTACTGCTCCAATTGTTTTACTGTCCTATCTACGAGGACATAAGGGATGTACTCTGTCGTAAAATTACTTCCATTTATGTTGATTTCTTTTGGCTGCATGACAATGAAAAACTTGAGTTGTGCTTCAGGAAAGGAACCTTTTTTGTGGCAGATTTTACTTGCCAGGCCTGGGAGAGAAGGCAGAATATTTAGTGACCGAGCAGTAAAGTAACCTGTCATTTTGCAATTGAATGAAAGGTGTGTCCACTGCAGCTGTACTTTTGGTGTCTTATAAACCCATGAGGGTTGGGCAAACTTGATTTTCCAGTAAATGTACATGACAGCAGCTAATGGTATGTGTCTGAATTATTTTATTTCTCACGGTGATACAAACAATTTTTTGCAGTAATGTACCCGAAACAAAAAGATGGTTTGTTCTACAGTACAAGTGAAGGACTGATAGAGGACACTGCTGCCATTCACGGCTACTCAAGTCTCTTTACAACTGAAACAGCTTTAATTTTATAATTTTAATGTTTTGTATTATTCAAAGGTAAAAAAAAAAAAAAAAAAGTAGCTTGAGTTTCTGTCCCAAGTTCTGTTGGTGTATAGTTTGCAGTGACACTCATTATTTTAAATGCAAGTTTTCAAAGCAATCCTGGTGGGGTCTCCCAAGGTAAATTGGTCCCAGAGGAGGGGCCAGTAAGAGGGATTCTATAGTTTTGCTGGGGGACTTCAACGCAGTTTACATGTTCAGTGTATGTTCAGCTGCATTAAATACAAAATGGATCAGCTGGCAATAAACCCTCATCTCATCAATTGGTGCTGCTTATTCCCGCTCAACAGACAAGAGCTGGTTAGGTTTAAAAACACCTCCTCCCCCCTGGTCACAACTAGCTGCGGTGCTTCACAAGGTCAGTCAGCTACCCGCTGCTATTCAGTCGGTATCATAGGACTGGATGTTTAAATAAGAAGCAAACTTCTTCTGTGTCCATTTTAACTCTTTACTTTTCACTTCTCATGATGACAGGTTGTGGGAGTAACCTGCTTTTGTACTTAATGTTCCTGAAAGCAGATAATACTATGTGCTACAGTATAATTATAGGACCGATAAAGGACAATACTCCCATTTCCCGATACTCACGTATTTTTACAACTGAAAACACTTTTAAATTGTCTTATTCAAATGCAAAGAGAAGTAGATTGAGCTTCTGTCCCATGCTCTGCTCATGTATAGTTTGCAGTGACACTCATAACCTTAATGCATGTTTTCAAAGCAATCTCAACAGTTCAATAACGGAAAACGTGTCAGTGCATGAATCGTAAGTGCATCGTTCATGAGATCTACTCGTGGCGCTGCATTACTAAAGAGAAACAATATCTGCAAGTCAAAAATCACTGGACAGGTGAGATAATTAAATGTGTTGGTAGCAAAACACTTGGTAGCAAAACACCTCATGCCAAAGATAGATGATCAACTTTGTGGTCCTATTATCAGTTATTCTGCCGTATGTCTTAGACCCTGTTGGACTCCAAAGGAGGTCATCAAGCTGAAGAAGGGTTTGCTTGGCCCAGGAGTTAGACCTGCCAGGTATGTCACGTAAACGTCCATCTAACCATCCATTATCTGAACCGCTTATCCTGTCCAGCTGACATTGGCCGAAGGCAGGTTACACCCTGGACAGGTCCCAAGACTATCCCAGGGCACATAGAGACAGCCAACCATACACGCTCACAATCACACCCATGGGCAAATTAGAGTCCTTAATTAACCTAAGCTGTAGGTCTTTGGACTGTGGGAGGAAGCCGGAGGGAACCCACGCTGACACGGTCTACACAGCACAAACCAGTTTATGTACAAGCGAGAGGGCAGCACTGAAGATGTTGTTGCCACCGTCATGCACCTCGTCTCAAAACATCTGCATGCACTGAAAATAAAACCATATGCTGAGTGCTGTTCATAGACTTCTCTTCTGCATTCAATACAGCTGAACATACAGCTCTCTGTTACCATAGGACTGGATGCTTCAAGATTTACTGCTCATATTGGAAGAAGCAAACAGAGATTTCTTCTGTGTCCGTTTTAATTCTTTCACTTTTCAAGCAAGTTGTGTGAGTAACCTAATGTTCCCGACAACAGTATAATAGTGACTAATTATACTGTGCTACAGTATAATTATAGGACCGATAGAGGACAATACACCCATTACCAGATACTCACATATTTTTACAACTGAAAAAACACTTTTAAAATTTTTAATTATCTAATTCAAATGCAAAGAGAAGTAGTCATAACTTTAAATGCATGTTGTCAAAGCAATCTCATGCAACTCACAAACAGTGCATGAATCACAAGTGCATCGGTCCTAAAAACTGCTTTTGATAAAGGAAGTTATTCTAAATCATGACAAAATCAACAACACTCCCGGACCAACTTGAAAAGAAAATGACAATTTAATGTTCATTTTAAGACCTCTTTGTATCGTTAGTGATAGAATAAAACTGTAATCATGATAACATTAATCGATCTGAACTCGTGCTTGCAGTAAATGATTTATGGAGGGAGAACATGTGTGTGGGGGGGGGGGGGGGGGGGAGGGGGGGGGGGAGAGGGGGGGGGAGGAGGAAAGAGGTGGAGCAGCAGCAGGATTTGAGAAACAACAGTTTACATGACGGACTCTTTTCTCCAGTTCTTATTTTTGTGTTTCTTTGTTTGCCAATTGTTGAAGACTTCCCTTTACTCCTCTTAACAAACTGGAGAAAGAAGACGACTATCCACGTCAGTCCACTTGAGAGGCAACAATTTCACTCTGGTACGTGATGCAACAAGGCAGGAGTTTGTAAAATATGGGGGTTAGACAATACTGAGGAAATCACAGCAACACTTCCCTAAGAGAAAAACATTGGATTTTAAAACAATCTCCTCTCTATTTACCAATGGCATCATTTGTATGGGATTATTTGCTCTGGTTGGGTCCATCGCTGCTTCTTCTGCTGCTGTATCTGGCTCTGCGCAGGCCCAGGATACGTGGTTGGACGAGACTGGCTGTCAGGGCTGCAAGCTGGAGACTCTGGGTCATTATTTGCGTGATCTTGGAGCTGCCGCTAGACAGGAATATAAGAGCATGGACCAGGGAGCCCAAATCACCAGGGGAAGATATTTTGTCTGGGTCAGGTCAGGCCTCAGATGGTCACAGACTCATCTGCAAACCCACTGCGCTGGCCAGATATCTGCTCCACCACTGTGGCTCTCTGGCCAGGCCGAGGCTGGCCTCCTGGCCCGAGGGAGACCCCCACCTCCAGACTCTTTCCAGCCTGCTATGTGGACAACAGGGTCACACATTACAGTTCACTAGAGACAATCTGTTCCTGAGAGACGGGGGTATTGTGGCTCTGGACTGGGCGGTGGGAACAAGACTGGATGAGGTGGTCGGGAGGAGGCGGTGGGAGGGCAGGAAGGAGCATCAGTCAGGGGGAAAGTCGCTAGGCTGCTTCACGGCGACGCCTCCTGTCCTCCTCCTCATACCTGAGTCCTGGGGAGGGATGACCCCCCATCTAAAATTGCTGTGCCATCAGGCCATGCGACTGGGTTTTTATGTGGTAGTATTTCACGCTCGAGGGACAGCGGGATGCCCGCTGACCACAGCACAACTGACTGAGTTTGGAGACCCAGCTGATCTTGAGCAGGTATGGAAAGATGTCAAGTGTACACTCTTTTTTTTTTATCATGTTTTTTTTTTTTTTTTAGATTGTGATTTTATTAGCCCATTGTAAAATTTTTGGTCATTTATTTTGCAAAATGTCCAATATTTGAATGGTTTATTTTACCAATGACGAGAACTTTGATGTCTTCTACTTTCAGGCGGTGGCTTATGTCCACAACCGCCACCCATCCTCTGTAATGGTTGCAGTGAGCGAGGGTTCAGGCTCGGGGGTTCTTCTTTCCTACTTGGGGGAATGTGGATCGAGTTCCTACCTGACGGCGGCTGCAGCCATCTCACCTGTCCTCCAGGGACAACTGTGGTTCGAAACAGCCATGCCTTCAATTTATCGCTGGGGGGTGTTGTTCCACCGGAAACTGCAGCTCAGTAGGTGAGAAAAATTAAAGCAAGATGAAAATGTATTAGTTATAACATGAATGGAATATCGGGCAGGATTATTAAAACCTTTTTTCTTGACATGTCGCCGTCATAAGATACGCAAGCTCCTTCAGAGGAGTCCTGGATGTGGACCGGGCCCTCAGCTGTTCCTCCCTGAGAGACTTGGAGGAAACTCTGTCCTGCTCTTCGGCACAGCTTCAGCCGAGTACCCCGAGCCCTCCAATAAGCTCTCGAAAGTCACGACCGAGCACTGGATCTCATTCCTCACGGGGCCTGGCGCCCTCAGTGGCCTGGTCACTCGGAGAGAGGGCTTACCCAGCCAAGGACTGGGACAACTACTGGGAGAGGAACGAACCACTGAGGGATGCAGATGAGGTGGCGGTCCCCGTGCTATGTATCCGCAGCCGGGACGATCCTCTCCTCCCGCCTGCCTCCACCTTGCCCATTCCCCTTTTCCTGAGCAATCCTTATTTCCTTCTGGTGCTGACAGACAGAGGAGGGCACTGTGGGTTCACTCTGGAGGGCAGAGAAGAGATGGAGGGAGGGAGGGATGGAAATGAGGTGGAGGAGAAAGGTAACTGGAGTCATATTGCAGTTTTGGAGTACTTCAGAGTAGTGGCTGATTTCCTGAAAAGGGAGGAGAGGGATGGGGTGAGCTCGGATGGTCCGCGAGGAGAATACAGTCAGGCTGGGCTGAGGAGCAGGACCAGCGACGTGGCTCCCCCTCGTAGGAGGCGAGCCAACATGATCAGGAAACAAAGACTGGAGACACCTGAAGAGTGCAGCGCAGATGCAGAGGAAGAGGAAGAGAACTTCACCTGGACGAGGTCTTACACACGCTGAGGAGGAAGAGATGGTGAGAGATGAGATCTGCAAAAAAAATAATTGGACATTGTCCACAGCTGGAGTTTAGAGAGGATGAAAGTACTCCTACAAACAACTGGAAAACAAATCAGCAAAATAAGGACACTGGACTACTTGGTAAAATTGATCCAAGAGGAGACATGACTTTTGGTAAACCAAGCAAAAAAACATGGTGTCAGAACAAGTCTTCACTCTTCTTTGAAAATAAAGAAAGACGAATCCAGAAATGTTAAAAAATAAAGCAAGAGGTTTTCAGGCAATGAAGCAAATTAAACAAGCAGTTCATGTCCAATACATGTCGAGAGTAGCACTGCATCAATATAATTCAAATATTAAGGTTATTAAGTCACAGGTTGTTGTTTTTCAGCCGTCATGCTCCTCACACACAAACACAGTGGGACAAAGAAATATTAAAATTACTTTATTACAGATCATTCTTTATCCAGTAGCCCTCTTCCAACAGAAAATAGTAATTACAAACAAAATATTACATTTATCCCCTAAACATGGTTTCTTGACTTCTTTTATACATTTTAAATCACTTTGTCATCTGTAAGGAATAGCTTTTCTCTTCTGCTATACGACATTCAGCTTTTTGCACAATCTATACAATTTAATACAGTTTAATACAGGTCTCTGGACTACGGAGATAAAACAGCAAGATCCACCAAATGACAGGAGCGATAAAGGGAATACTGATAAACAGACTGTACAGAGACGTAACCCTGCCTCCCGCCTACTTTCAACCAATGGCAGCCATCCCTCAGCACCACTGAGGGGGATCACAGTAGACTCTTTAATCTGGTCAATCACTTGTGCAAGCAGTGCAACTGATCCAGTTCAGAGTGACCAAGGTCTAAAACTAGACTCTGCCCCCGACCACCTCGCAAAACCCCCCCCCCTGGGAGTTCTAGTAAACACAAGAGAGGGAGTAAAAACCTGCCACTCGCTTGGCCCTCTGCAGACATCATCTGGAAAATAAAATGACCCTTTCTGGCATAAAACCAAATAAAACACAGCAGAACTGGAAAAGGGTTTGTTAAAAGATGTTGGAAACAATGGCATACTGGCTGAAGAGAAGAATGGGACCACCACATTCCGGGTTTTTCTTTTCAGTTTTTGGAACTGAGCCCAGACAAACTGAGTGCAGGGTGGTAAGATTTTTAAAAAAAGCTGAAAAAAAGGCAGATACTTCAGTGTAGTGTGAAAATGCTTTGTGTACAACCACAACAGAGGAGGGCGCATGTTTCATAAATGAAGTCCAAATGATATCTGTGGACCCCACAACACCTCAGAGTAACCCTTATAGATATCAAACAACAGATATATTTTCACCGTCTTGTGCAAGGATTTCTGTTGTGGAGTGCACGAGATATTGTTCATGCAGCCAAATATTGATTTCCAAATTTTAATAGATCTTTAAAGACATTTATTTTTCTATTGTATAACCTTGACTTTAGGTCAGAGTCTAAAACGTGAAAAACCTAAACAGACAGATTGAGTCTTCTATATTGGGTATCATACGTCAATTAAATATAACCATTGCTTAGGCAAAGGCTACACCTAACAAGGGGGCACAACCATCCTAATTCAGCATTAAACAAAAAATTACCCTTTTACTCAAGGCAGTCCGACCGAGAGTTGTGTTGTTATCATTCACAACAGAATATCTGTAAGACGTTTCAGAACCTGCAGCTGCAAGTAAGACCGCGAAAACCCAGCAGCTGTTAATCAAATGTTCATTTGAATACCGCTGGTCCAAAACCACATCACTGTGTCAGCATCACAACTACTTCATTTGTCTTTGATTTGTCAATTAGATTTTCAAATTCAAAATATACAATATTAACAGGTTTACTGTACATTCCACCTCTGAAAATCATACGACGCATAATCTCTGCATTTCATTTCACAATTAGACGTCCACTTTTATATCTATAATCCTCTTTTTAATAGATTTATATAATAATACATATTTATTTGTTCTTCTTCTTTTCTTTCACTTAAAGAGCTCTTCCCAGATAGATCAGGGAGGGGTGAAGACAGCATCAGGCTCAGGAGGGGAGGAAACAAACGTGGAGGGAATCAGGGAGGTCATCGGTCAGAACACGACTCCGGGGGTCACCGGGGGTGAGACAGAGCGGGATGTCGGACCAGAGGGGGTTCCAGGGGCATGGCAGCGGAGATCCCAGCATCACCGCCCATCAACCCAACGAGACATTCAGCAGTCACCAACCAGCAGAGGACTAGTGAAGCTCCTCCTTCACGCTCCCTGTTAATTCAGTGCAACTCTAGCCCCTTAAAACTATTATTTATTAATTAAAAACACACATTTCTAGGCAACTGAGATGGACAATTTTGCCCTGACAGAAATGCTGCTGTGTTGCTCATTAACAGCCAACTCAGCTAGCAACTGCTAAGTGCATTTTTTTTTATTGTTTTAAACACTTATGTCCCAATCCCATTTTCACAAATGTTTCTCCTGTACATGCATTCATCAACCAAGTGTGCAAAGGGACGTACTGTTTGACTGGGGAATAGAAATCAATAACTATTATATGTATGTATGTAAATCTGATCTACCAATCATTTCGTGTGCATGAAAGCCTGTGCCAAAGTGCCAGTCGTTGTCAAGTCACGACACCCTGTGGTGAAGCTCTGCTTGAGTGTTCTCGAGGTATAGACCAACAGGCGTCGCTTTCACCGACCAACACGGCGCCAGATTAGACCAGAACACTGCTGCAAACAACAAGTGAGAGGTGAACACTAGTTTCTACTCAAGTAGAGGTTAGGTGCTGCTGAAAACCCCGTCCCTGTCATGAGGGCTTTGGACTGGTAAGGCCATGGTATCCCTCAGACTGGCCGTTCACTGGGCGGGCATGAGCAAAGAGTGGGCAGAGGTCTGTGGAAACCCAAGAGCCGAGCCAATGAGGCCGAGCATGCACGAGAATGGACTTCCTCCTCGCCTCCAATCCAGCAACGCGTGCATCTAACTTGGCCGCATAGTATCACCTGAACTTCCAATTACATCTCTGGCACAATCTCATGAAATACATAACAGTATGTTGGCATGGATAATTATAACGACAACGCTGACTCTGCACCTTTACCTTTGGCATCTTTGCAGCCCTAACTAACTCATCCCAGTAAAACACTGCACACAGGGACTTCACTGGTTAGATTCCCTCTCTGGTGGAGGAGTGAAGTCACTCAGGCTGGAATGAAAGATTGCATACTTTTAGCTGTTCATGACACCTTGGACGTCCCCTGTGCTACTTCTTTAAAGTCAGAGAAACCCACTTGTACTTACAACAACACTGGTCATTTCTCTATGCTCCTTCTAGAACTTTCCAACGTGTTCCGAAACATTCTGCTCTTCCATCTTAAATCAGACGCCTACATTACCTCCTGCCTTCTCACTCCTCTGTCACTGCACGTAAACCATAATCTCAATAAACGTTCTAAAGGGTAAGATGTCTGTGCTTCAATCTCAAGCTGTGAGATATTTGAGTGATCACATTTTTTTTTTTTTTTTTTTTTATGTGATTCTAAAAATTGCATAACTGAATGCAACATTTCCCATGATGCACATTATTGTGCTACCACAACATCTGAAAGCCTCAGGTTTACATCACATATATATATAAAACAGCGTACTGCAAACAAACTCCGTGGTAGAGAATATGAATATACTACTTTGGGTCTATGACAACAGAGACTAACATGGCAAAACGCATAAAACAGCACTGTAAGATACAGTACAAATGACACTATTGCACTGTGGCATACTGTATATGGCCCTCAGCCATCTTGGATTAGTCTCAAGACTTTTGGGTTTCCACAGACTACCGCGATCAGTACACTGATTTAAGAGAGCAGTGGTGATGGGAGAGCAACTGGGCTGCCGTAAACCCAGTCTCAGTACTGTGCAGTATGTGTCAGACGTACTGTGGGACATAAGTGTATGTAAAGCATGTGTGGTGCATGTGTGGTGCATGCATAGCGTGCGTCTGCGTAGTGTCACCTCGGTGCACAAGGATTCGACTTTAAGACAATTATCGTGTTGCTTGTGTGTGTGTGTGTGTGTGTGTGTGTGTGTGTGTGTGTTCTAGGTGTACGACAGATGGGATCCGTTGGAGATCTGAGAGGTGATGCTGGCGCTCCTGCTCATGCCCTGTTCATTTCTCCCCCCTGATGACGTCCTCCTCATAGCCTGTGGGCTGTTCCTCACCCCTCCTGCGCCTCCCGCGCTCCCCCTCTGATTCCCTCCTCCGGGGTGGTGGAGGCTCCAAGGTGGCGGGCCCCCAGCCAGCATGGGGTGACCCCAGGGCTGCTGTGAGCTGGTGCCCCCCTGGTGGTGATGACTTTGGTGGCCGCCTCCTCCTCCACCTCCACCTCCTCCGGGCCAGTGGCCTCCACCTTGAGCCCCCTGGCCACCTCCACCTCCTCCCCCCCAGCCTCCCTGGGAATCGGCAGCCACGTTACTGAGCACCATGTTGCTGAAGCCCAGCCGCATGGACTCCGAGTCAAAAGCCTCGATCTCTCGGGCCTGGCGCTCCAGCAGGGAGCGGATTCGCTCCAGACGCTCGTTCTGCAGCGCAAGCATTTCCTCTTCAATCTGCGGAGATAAACACAGTTAACAAATGAGTTTAAAATACATGCCAAGAGACAAAGCAAAGTCTGCCATTTGGCTGCTTTGAAAGGACGATGAATTCTTCTTTAATTAATCACTCGACCACACTATTCACATTATTGGGAAATAGAACAATCGGCAAAATTAGAAAAACAGGAAGGGTTGAATGGCCTTTAACTTAAAGACACAGTATATGAGACACAGTAAGTGAACGTCAACAGAAGTGTAGTCTCATAACCAAAAAGTGTTTATTGTCGCTCCCAAATGTATTGCCACACATCCTTACACTAGACTAAGTCCAGGGCCTTTCTTACCTTCTGCTCCAGCAGTGCCCGCCGCAGAGAGACCCTCATCTCCAGCTCCCTGCGCTCCTTGTCGTGCTGAGCGTCTGTCTGCATCTTGATCTTGCTCTGGTATGCGTTGAGCAGCTCCAGCTCCTGCAGCAGCTGCATCCTCAGAACCTGACAGTCGCCCTCTTGAGCCTCGTCTAACCGCAGCTGAGGGCATGTAAGTAAAAGAGAAAGACATGAAGACGGGACGATACAGATATACAAGACTTTCTTTGTAAGCACCATTGTTTTTGGCTCAATGTCAGTGACAAGCAGTATATTTTATATCCTACAGATATAAAGCTAAATAAAACATAACGATTCTTAGTTTCAATCATTGTACACTAATAAAAACATAGTTATGCATATTATATTCCATTTTTCCCAATTTATCCTCTTAAATGTTACACACTGTTCATTTAAGTCTCGTTTAGATGTTCTTAAATTAGATATTTCCTAATTCAAATAATCATTTAGAGTATTTGAGTATTTTATCATGGTCTTGTACAACTGCTTTGTGACTAAACTAATTTTTGTTTCCTAAACTCTTAAGGTCTTCTCTTCCAGGTACTCACGGCCTGCGTAGAGAGCATTTCGTTGATGGAGTGGTCGTACTGCTCGGCCAGGATGGCCAGCTTCCTGGTCTGCTCCTCCTTCAGCCTCTTGAGCACGGCCTTGTGATCAGACTTGGGCGTCGTCTCCAGCAGGTGGTTTCTGAGGGCCTTGTACTGCCTGGTCTGGGTTTTACAAGTGTCCTGGAACTGCTTCTTAATCTGAAGCTCCTTAGACTAAAAAAAAAAAGAAAAAAAAAAAGAAAAAGAAAAAGGGAAACGTTTAAAATGGGAAACATTTAAAATGTTGAGTAAGGGAGCTTTACCCCTGCTGTATCCCTGTTGTATCAGTGAGAGTGTGTAGAGGGGTCCGTTTCAAAAAGAAGTACACGTACCTTGAGGCTCTTGGGCTGCTGTCGGACCTCCATGACATGCTTGCGCCTCAGCTCCCTCTCCCTCCTCTTATTGTATTCCAACTGGTTGGTGAGCTCTGTCTGGTGCTGGGTCCGAATCAACTCTGCCCGCGCCCTCTGGATCGTCCCCAGGTGCCTGAATTCCAGCTCCTGCATCGACTCGTGATGTCTGAGCAGCATGGCGTGCTCGAGGTCCTTCTGTGTCTGCCGTTTGTTGAGCTCCTAAAACAAGAGGAGAAAATGCTGGTTGACAGCAATCAAATAAGTCAAATCAATCAAAAACAGTAGAGTGGGTGGTGGCGGCTGGTTCTCTCTGTGTGACTAAGTACCTCTCTGGCCAGATCCTGCTCCACGTTGTGTCTGGCGATGAGGATCCTGCGTTTGAACCGTCGACACTCTAGCTCCAGGTACTGCCTCTGTCTCCTCAGCAGGTTGGCCTCCTCCTCCGCCTGGGAATCAAGTTTTGTTAAAGTCACAGATTCTACAGACGGTGTGAATTCACTGCCAGGCCTGTGTAAAACCAGCATTTGGTCTCGGGCTTGTCAAGTGTACTGTTTGAGAGTTCCTGACCTGGAAGTGCTGGATGTTCTCCTTCTGTTTGGACAGCCACTCCTGCTTCTCCTTCTTGGGAGTGGACTGGTTCTCGTTCAGTTCCTGCCACACAGGTGTTATTTTGTTTTCTTTCAGTATGTCAGGGTATTTGCCTTATTGATGTTACAGATATTGATACAATTAGTCCATTAATGTATTACTCAACCAGCAGAAAAGGAATCAGCGACTAATTTGTAATTAATGAAATAGTAGTGGTCACCATGTATTAATCATGTGTGTGGTTGAAGTGTGTTACCTCTTTGAGCTGCTCCTTGCGTAGTTTGTACTCCCGCTTCTGTGATTCCAAGAAGCTGCTGAGCTCCTTCTTCTGCTGCACCTGGATGTGCTGCTGGAACTTCTTCTCATCGTTGGCAAAAGTCTTCAGCTAAACCAAACACCAAAATTGAGTCGGAGACAAAAAAAGCTTCAGTTGTAGGGACGTGCTTTGAAAACATGAATAGTTGAATATCACAGTATTTTTCCACTTACGTCTTTGTCCAGGGCCGCCTGGTGTTTTTTAAGCAGCTTCTCCATCTCCTGGGTGAAGTTGTTCCTCTGACTCTCTAGCTCTTTGTCCAGCCTCAGCCTGTGCTCATCCATCTCCCCTTTCAGCTTGTTCTCCAGGCCCATCAAGTGCTTCTGATGTTGCCGTCTCATGCGTTTGTACCCGGACATCTGCTCCCGCAGCTCCGAGTCCTGCTCGTGTTCCTGCATCTCACGGGTCACCTGCAGGATGCGGACGCAGGTAAGAATCAGCGCAGTCTCTTTGGGTTCAGATTATTTGAAAAGGGTTATAAAATATAGAAATATGACATGGGGATGAAGACATCCCACTCAAGTGTGTAGGTATAACAGCAATGTTAAAAGAGTTTGTTAAATGTTGAACATTTCTAATCATTTCGGAACTTTTGTCTAACATAACGCACTAAATATCTGTCCCTTTCTCTTATACAGCCACTAATAAATGCAATTAGCAAGTGAGATGCATGGAGGAGTGAGCAAGTGTGTTCTCACGAGTGACGCTGTGCGTATGGTGGCAAAGTGCTCTCTGTTGCGGTAGTGCTTCCTCGGGGCCGGAGCTGGTGTTGGCTGGGGCTCAGAGGGTTCACTGCTGGCTGCCGGCTCCCCAGAGAGACTCTCCTCTTCTTCCTGGAGACATAAGGCAGCAGAAATAACATATTATTTAGTTACTGTATTTCACAGATTCAAATCAAGCATTGGGGGGATGGGAAGACTTGGATAAGGCAAGAAATAGATCGAGACAGAAGAGAAACAGAAAAGACTTGCCAAAGTGAGACAAAAATATTACAGCAGTTAAGTGCTCGGTGTTACTCCGAATCGGTGTCTCAGACTGCTGTGAGAAAACTTCTCACTAACTTGAAAACAACATCCTCCCAAAACATCATTGTGTGTTTTTTTAACTCAACCTTCTAATCCATCAACATGTTTCTGGCCATATCTTGGTGCTTGCAAGAGACGGATTAAAAGAAGGACGGTGAAAACTGATGCAGCAGAGCCTGAGATATCCTGACTTTTAGTCCGGAGTATGAGTCAAACTCAACTCAAAACACTGGATCCTTTATTCCTGTAGTGTAACTAAATAGCATCTTTCATTAGACGTTTATATGTCCATGTCTTTTTAACTTGACATCCCCAATTTGCAATACAGGGTTTCTGTAGTAAACCGATGCCGTACACGAAGCTCCCACCAGAGCCACAGACATTTTTATGAACTCATCTTCATGTGTAAAAATCGGTGGAGTGCCCCTTTAATAAATCATGAATATACGCCTATACACTTTCTCTAAAGAGGTGTGTGTGTCCGTGTGACTTTCCCCACCGGTTTGAGGTGTATGACGGAGCTGTTGGACATGACTGTGTGGTCTCCCTCCATCAGGTCCAGCTCGCTGTGGCTGTCCTGGGCCGCTTCGTTCAGACTGTTTACAGAGCTGCTTTGGGAGCTGGCGCTGATGGACATGCTAGGAATGGACTGATTACTGCCGACACTGTTCACTGTTCCCGTCCGACCGCCGCCTGGCTCCAGCTCCTGGAGACCGAGAGTAAAGAGCACAAAGAGAGAGAGAGGGAGAGAGAGCGAGAGAGAGCGGGATAGGGGGAACGCAAGAAAGTCCAAAAGACACGGACAGACATGCATACAAACCAATGCATGCTTGGTTATTTTCTCAGCACAGTAAAATGCCATGAAAGTGGCAAATGTATTTCTGAGCTTAAAAAAAACAAAAACAAATTGATGTTACTAAACAAGCATCCACACACCTCGTCTCCATCAGGAACTTCTGCTGTGGGTCCGTTGTGGGTCTCCTGAAGGAGGATCTTCTTCATCTTGCGGTACTGTAGGTTGTCCAGCTCTCGCACGGCATCCTTGGTCCTCTGAATAAGATCCATCAGCACGGAGTCTGGACGTTCACGCTGCAGAAACGCATGCTGGAGAGGAAGAGACAGAGCATCATGAAAACAAGAGTCGATGAGGAGAAAGAAGAAGAAGAATACTGTTCTCAAAACTAAACCGACTGGAGTGACTGAGAGCTTATGAGGAGATCAACATGTAAACTTGTTTTTTTGCAATAAATTGCACAAATGTAATGGGTGAAAAATATCAAATATATCCCAAGAAGGAACTCGGTTAGCTCAGAGTGCTGAATTTGCTTTCAGCTTCAGCGATCTGGATTTAATGATGTGGTGGATGGTTTTGAGCTGAAACTGCAGAAAGAAAGGTCTGTATTAAGGTAAGACAGCGTACACGGTTACTCCATGTGTACGGCTGTTTGTTTAACACGGACAACATTTGTCAGGCTCTATGATCAACGCAAACTGTGCCGTACGGTGGATCATGCAGATGACGGCCAATTGTCAAAATCGACATGAAATGACTAAAATATATTTAAATTCAAGAACTTCTTTTTAAGATTAAGTTGGGCCAGAAGTCCAACTGAAGAAAATCACATTGAGAAGCGTTTAAAGAGTGTTTAACATTGAACATCGTAACACTTTGAATTCAGTTTAAGAAAAAGTATTGTTTGGGACGTTGACATTTAAAGGAGAAAGACGCAGCGTGCAGTGCTTTCGTACCCCAAGGACAACTTCCATTAGTAAGAGTGAGTCCATTAGTGGTTTAAGTGACAGCTGCTCAGTTACTTAACAATGGATGCAGAAGTCGCATCTCTACAGTAATTACATCTGTGTTCTTTCCACAAAACCAAGCTCTGTGTGTGTGTCCATGCAAGTTCTGGTTGTGTGTGTGTGTGTGTGTGCGTGAAGCTGGAAGTAGAGGATTAGTGAATCCAAATAGAAGCTTATGGGGGAGAGAACAGAGTACAAACATCAGAGGAAGATTTATCGCCAGAGGGCTTTGTCAATCTCCCATCTTAACACACCGACCATGCTCTCTGTTTGTGCGTTGTAGTGTACACAGTATGTGCGCGCACTTACCCCCAGCATGTCGTCAGAGTGTGGTCTGTCCTGGGGGATTTTCTGAAGGCAAGAATCTATAAAGTTTCTAAAGTAATCCGTCCTGAAACAAAGATGACAAGATGTAGGGTAAGACACCGACACCGACAGCCTTTTAACAAAAGTAAGCATGTTTGTGGTGCGGCGTGGCATCTCACCATTCACTGGCCTGCAGTGTGGGGCTCTCATTCTGCGCTATGTGGTATAAGGCACTCATTGCATTCATGTTAAACAAGGGAGGTTTCCTCTCCGCTGGAACAGAAATGACAAGTCAGTGTGTGTATTCCTTTGTTTTTTTTCAGATTATAAGCATTCTGTACACATGACATCTATTGCACTTCTGTCCATCCTGGGAGAGGGATCCCTCCTTTCTTCCTGGGACAAAGGATGTCGTATGTGTACAGATTGTAAAGCCGTCTGAGGCAAATTTGTGATTTATGATTTTTGGCAATACTAAATAAATGTAATTAAACTGAATTCAAGTTTCAGAAGAAAAAAATATTTTGCCTTTCTCAATTGCTGAGTTAATAAACACGACTGATTTAACTGAACCTTAAATCAAAACAAGCCCATCAAACAAATGTTAGTCAGACAATGTAGTGACTGGCGTTAGTTCTTGCACTCAAAGACCTTAATCAACAGCAAATCATGTGTTTAGAACAGATAGTAGGTCATGATTTGGTAGCTTTTGTCTCACAGACTGTGTATTCAAGTATACTTTGTGTTAAGTTTACACTTTCCATTTTAAAAGATAAAATACACACATACTGTCAACCTACCTAATTCTATACAGGTGATCCCTAAGGACCAGATATCCACCTTCCCATCGTACTGGCCCTCGTCCATAGCTAGAATCACCTCTGGGGCCATCCTGGATGTAGCAGAGGAGGAAGATCAGTGAGTGTGAGGAATAGAAAAGGACAAAAACAAAAGTAGGTTAACAGTCAATTTAAAAAGAAAAGAGCAAGAAGACTTTAATGGATACGCAGTCACGTCTTTGAACGTGTTTTATTTATAATTATGTTAATCTGCAAACTAAAAGGCGTTGTCACTTTATTGTTTGGAATTAAATAATGGTGTTTTTCATAAGTCATAAGCACTTTCTCAGAAGCATAAGTAACAAAAAAAAAAGCAAAATTTTCTGACAATAGAGTTCACAATCCTGAAAATGATTGGATACATCAGCAGGCCGCTTTTAACTCATGTGTGGATATGCAAATATAAGTAAATACTCTTAACAGTCAAATCCAATTTCATGAGTCCGTGCTTCTTGAAGTAGACCGTCAACATTTACCATCGTGTACTTTGAATTCTTTCGGTTTACATTTACCAATATGGCGTTCCCACAAAGGAGTTGGCAGGCGAGGCAATGGAAGCAGAGCCAAAGTCCGCCAGTTTGACCAGCCCGGGCTCAGTCAGCAGAATGTTACCTGCCTTCACATCCCTGACAGAGAGAGAAACATAGACGTGTCAAAGCGGGGGGATACATGGGGGGGGGGGGGGGTGTAGTGTTTACAGGTTTCTTAAAGAATATAGGTCACGTAAAAAAGCATTCACCTGTGGATCATATTGTGGGAATGAAGGTAGGCCAGCCCCTGCAGAGCACCATGTGTAATGGCAGCAATCTCTACTTCCTGTAAAGGTTTTTTATGAACTAAAAGGAGGAAAAACAGTTTGAGCAGGAATCAAAAGCAGCTGATGAAGACAAATCAATGTCCGTGTTTCTTTTCCTGTAAGCTCACACAGTCAGTCCTACATTTCATCTCTTGTGGAAGGGTCAAATCTGTTTGACACATACACACACAAAAAAAAAAAAACATGCAACACCTGCTTACCTTCTAGCAGATCTGAGGCTGAGCCGAGACAGTACTCCATCACCAGCTAGAAGCAAGAGATAAAGTCGTGAATAGCTATGTATGGACACATGGAGGCCCTTTAACATTGCAGAATGAGATAATCTTCCAGTTGTTACCGGCTGTTGTTAGCAGGTGACTTACCCATGCTGTGTGCTCACGGAGGTAACAACCTTTGTACTCTATACTGTTGGGGTGCCGGATCCTCTGCAGAAACTTCACCTCTTTTATAATGTCCTGCCATTTCTGTTGGGGGAGACAAGGGTCTTAAACGTAAAACACGCCATGCATCGCTTGGCTTTATGCACTAGAGGTGTGTGTGTGTGCGCAGATGAGTGTCTTTCAGTGCAAATAGGAGTATGGTGGTTCTCTTCACAGATTATGTGTAATCTGATTATAGCTAATCTGAAATCAAGAGCAGTGTGAACTGTATGTGGGACGACAACCCTGAAAGTGTGACCTTTAGCTAGTTGACGTGGATATTCATTGAAGACATTAGCAGTCACCATTTGGTTCAAACTGGGATGCAACGGTTGTTTGTGTGTGTGTGAGTGTGAGTGAGTGGGTGAGTGAGTGAGTGAGTGAGTGAGTGAGAGAGAGAGAGAGAGAGAGCTTATGAAGTTAACGGTGACGTTATAGCTGTGAATGTAGCAGTGCGTGTACAGTTTAAAGCTATTTGTTCGGTGTGTGAATGTCACAACTCCTCAAGACCCAAGCGAAGTTCCCGTGCCTTGCTTGCTATCTGCTGATTAAAGGATTAAAGTGAAGGTTAGCCCTGAAGTTAGCGACAACCTAACCTTAAGGTGGACTGATCTTTAAGGTGGACCAGCCATTCGGAAACGAGGGTTGACTCTTGCTCTAGACTTCTCTGTATTTATGTTTATTGTTGAGCTCATTGCAATTACTCAATTGCAACACAGAAGATAGACTGTGTGCATATGTATCAGTGAGAGAATGATAATAATAATAATAATAATAATAATAATAACTGTATATCAGTATATTTCAAAAATGTATTCAGCACATTTTAACAATATCACAATAATACAGATAACCTGATATTTTGGTCACAATAATCGTGATATGAAATTTTTATACCATTTGATATCTGGTTGCAAACATTAGTAAAAGATATACATACTGTATATCAAGATCCTGTACTGTCAGAACATGGCACAGAAGGTATAACCACGGACGGTATTTAAAAAGTAGACGTAGTCGCCGTGATGTCAACCATTGGTTTGTGGACTGCCGTTTTGAAACGTCGAAATCTGCATTTCGGCCGTCACCATCTTGGCTTATTGCAACCAGAAGGGACACGAGAGGGTGGAGCTAGATACAGTCGAACGCTGAATATGTCAATATGCTGAGTTATATAAAATGTTATAGTTAACTTTAATGAACTGACAATACACTGTTAAAGGATTAAAGAGGGTGTAAGACAAAAACACAGACAACGTCCTAGTAGCGACCTGTTAATCATAAGGTAGCTAAGCCCTAAAGCAAAACCAGCTTTATTGTCTATTTCACTCTAAATGGGACCACAATTTACTAAGTGAAATCAAGAGAGAAGTAGGGTCATTTCCCCATAGACTTCTATACAATCAGACTCCTCTGGTCATTAGAAAGAATGGAAGTATAACATAAAGAGTAGGTATATTTATGTGATGTGTATTACAGTGCACACAAGTCACTAAAAGTTTAGAATAAAGAGTTAATGGTAAATAATTCAAAGTTTGATACTGTAATGTGTGAAGATACAAACATACATACATTATATATAAAACCAATTTTGTCTCACCTCAATAGACTGTTTGCCATTGTAGGACATCTTTTTAATTGCCACCACCTCATTTGTGCGTATATCCCGTGCCTTGGAAACAAAAAGTAAATTGTCAGTACACATTTCAAACATAACATACACTACATCCCATTCTCTCTTTAAGGATGGTGTCTTTCAAGACCTCTTGTACCTTTTTTTTTTTTTTAACCACACTGTGTGCAGCGCTCAAGAGCAAGAGTCAGATCAGAATAGGTAGTTTGAGTCACTTTACTCTGCTGTACCTTGGTGCTATTACATTTAATCTGCATTCGGCAAAAAATGCTATATTTAAATTGTTTTCTGTTCTTTAATGAATTAGCTACACTTTGAAGACTTTTGAGACAAACTCTGGCCCATTGTAAGCCCACTGATGTACCTAAAGGAAATATAAGCGACGCTTGACTCAGTTGATATCTGTAATTGGCAAGTCAAGCAGCCTTGAGTTACTGTATCATTCACAGAAAGGAATACGGAAGCTAATGAAATATAAAGAGACATTTGGATCATACAATTGATCACTTCAACTCCACCATGGGACTGTGTAGATTCTGTCTTTACAGAATAAACATCTCTTGTATTCAACGGATCATGACCCTGATTAAAATCAGTCAGTGTGAAGATGAAGTTGCCGTACAAAGTAGACGGCTCCAAAGCTGCCATGGCCAATCTCCCGGAGGTCAGAGAAAAGCTTCTCTGGGTCGTCTTTGAAGAAAAGCTCGGCCACGTCCGGATCCTTCAGGCTCCCCGCCCTTACAGTGGAGGGCATCCTGGTTAATGTAGTCCCTTATCACCCACGCAGAAGGGGATGGGGACTATCTGGGTGCTGAGCTACGCCAAAGCAGCTGAAGATTCATCTGTAATAGTTGATGGGCCTAAGGAACCAGCACATGGGCACCTGGATGGACAAAAAGGGGCGAGTTAGCAAGGACCAGATCAAACACAGTATGAAGAAGAGTCCATTGGCTCAGTTGACTGATGAAACGTCGAAGGCCATACTTTGAAAGGAGAGGAGGAAACCTCAGCACAACTTTAAACTTGTAACATAAAACAACTCCTCCATTTGGTTACAGTGTAATATTTTACTTCAGTGATTTCATGTTCGTGCACACAATTTGGCTACATACAAACATTAAAAAATGTATTCGGCTACATAATGTCCCCAGTTTTCCTTAGAGCAGTATTGCGTTTGAAAAGGGTATTAAATGTAACGAGGTGGCATTCAACATCACACTGCCTGACGAGAGCGATATAACGTTTCTTCAGAAAAGGTCACAGTCGCACCTTCAAGTGCTGACCCTAATATAATCCACTAATTGCAGAGTCATCGCAAGTGCATCGGTTCAGATTGCTTCGGCAATTATTTGCAGATATGTAAGCTATACTGGAATGACTGGGCAATGCAAATATCCCAGCTCACGGGTCGATTTCATGTCCACTGCCATGAGGGGGCCGACAGTAATGAGGTCTGAGCTGCATCGGCCGATCAATTAGAGTTGCCGTGCACTCTAAAGAGTAGGAGACGTTTTGCTCTAGTTAAGTCTAGTAACATGCATGTAGGATTATCATTGTTGTGTATGTGCGTACATGCAAGTGTATGCATATTGTGTACCGAACATTATACTGCAAACTACCAAGGCAAGGCAAGTTCATTTGTGTGGCACATTTCAACAACAAGGTAATTCAAAGTGCTTCACAAAAAAACATTAAAAGCATCAAAACATACGGCAAAAGAAAAGGAGATTTAAAAACAATTAACAACATTCATTGAAACATTAAAAACGGTCACAGCTAAAGCTATTTCCTTGGAATAAACTGCACAAACACTAAAACAGAGTTATACAAATGGGGGTTATATTAGGTTCAATACAAATTAGCATGTCAACGCCCTACTGCTCTGATGTACATGTGCTGCTTGTTTAAAATGTTTTGACTGGATTTGTTGGGTCCCATCGGCTTTATTAAGTTACAATAATCACTGAAATCATGTTGAGGTTGTAGCTTTTACTGTATGTGTCTAACATCTATAATTTACCAACATTTATTTGTTAGACACTTTCACATTTTGAGCAGAGATACATCGAGCCCAAAGTTTCCTCTGAGACGTTATGGCTTGATGTTAAACATGCCTGACGTGTATGTTGGGTGTACGTCTAAAGAGTAGAAAGGAAACACACAAGCACTCTCCTCTCACCTCCTTTGTACTTTTCCTATCAAAAGATAACCACCAGCACACCGCCTGAAAGAATTCCTCCATCTTTTACAACCTCACCTCTTTGTCTCGTCTTCAGCCGGTCAGAAATTGGAAGCAACCCCCTCCACACCTAAACACCGCACGGATATCTTTACAAAAACAACCAGTGGGAAAGAGTAGTCGCCTCCTTCGGTTTATCTTTGGGTCTGCTATAGTTATCAGTACAGCCTGGTAGCCTGCTGTACCAAAACCACACTGCCTTCTGGTGTCACAAGGTTCATCCTGCTAAAAAAGCTATCCAGCTGACTGAGAGAAACAAAAACAAAAAACACAAGAGGGAAACTGGTATACCAACACACACACACACACACACACACACACACACACACACACACACACACACACACACACACACACACACACACG